ATAATGAACGAGCGACTGGCAAAACGTATTTTTGACACACTTTGCTGTATATCAAATGAAACGACAGATAAATAATCGCCAAATGAAGTTATAATGCAACAATATTTAGCATATAGTATTAGGTGTATTTTTACGAGTTACTGCCTACTTTGGACTGATAAATCATCACACTCCACTGATCTGATTCGCCCCCCGGGCAGACGACCCTCGCACCTACCAGGAGGCGGTCGACGCGTGCTCGCGACTATCCAACGGCGGCTGGCGGCCCTGGGCAGTTGAGACCAAGGAGGAGCGCGATTCCGTGTTTCAGATCCTGCTAGTTGACATGGGCTTCCTTCAAGGTAAATAGCGACTGGAGAAAATGCAATGAATGAAATGCCAGTGAATTGAATGGATTGAAGGAGTGGCATGACCAAAATTGATAAGAGATGCACGAACGAATGATAAACTAAATGGAATGGCTAACACGTACCTACGACAGTGAAATGAATAAATATCACGTAGTTATTTACTCGTAAGCGCAGTAATAAATAGCGTGCATCGCTGCGAGTGCGGCAGATGATCCCGCTTACCAGTCATCTCTGCGCCGCCTCACATTTGTGTGCATTTTGACAGGTAATGTCGTCTGCATGCCGTCGATAGTGTATGACGTCTGTGTGCCGTCAGGCACCTCTATATGCCGTGTAATACGTCTGTGCCCCGTCTGTGTGCGCGCGCCTTTCAGACACGGATGACGTGGTGACCAGCGGCACGGTGCAAGCGGACGGCTCCACGGTGCAGTGGGCCGACTGGCCCGGTGACCCGGCCGCCGGCTGGCTGGCCGGTGCCACCAGCGGCACGCCCACAGCCGGCGACGTGCTCGTCTGGGAGAACATCCAGGGCGCCAGCCCCGACACCACCACGATGCGCTACTACCCACCGGACAGCCTGCCCAGCACGGTGGCCGTCATCTGCGAGCTGCCCACCGCAACCACCACCTCATGTGAGTGCAAACTAAATGCTCCGCTATCCGTCCGGCTTGCCACGTTCTTGATTTATTTGGTGGGGTATTCAGCTATTATAAAAATTTTGAATTATAATTAATGAAAATCATGCAATGCGAAGCGAAACGTCTCTGAGTTTCGGCAGTTCGGTCACCACCAACAAACCAAGTAGGTTTGTTGGGGAGACAATTAGTAGGAAAGTTTTTTCTTCTTCTTTGCACGTTTTGGCACCAGTTCTGGTGAGATCTGTCGCGCTCGCATCGCGTTGCCAAGCAAGTAGTTATGGCACAGCATCGGCAATCTATGCACAGGTCGCTGGGTACTCGCCAGTCGCCACCTATCATGGCTCGTAATGACACTCTGATATGACCTCACTTAGCTTCCAGCAATCATAGTTTGTCGAGCACTCATGGGCTGTTGCCCCTTATGGAAAAGTGCTACATGGGCATTGGTGGTTTCGGTGAAATTTGGGTTGAACATATGTTCGGTGGGTAGGGTGGGGTAAGTTGAACATATTTTTACGTCCTCTTCGTCGTATCAAATTCCAGCTCAACCCTGGATGAACAAAAACTGTTTCAGTAGTGCAAATGTCACTTGCTTTCACCATGCAAGTCTCATTTTTGGACGACCCGAGAATACCTTGAACAGCATAGCCTCACTTCTCTACCAAGTCACGGTGTGTTCAAATTACCCTACCGTTGGGCAATTTGAACATACTGCCTTTACGTGCCAGAAAACGATAATCTCGCCAGCACCGATGTTGTTCAATTCATAAACAAGTAGGCAGAACAATTATAATTTCTAAGCATGTCCTCATTTGAAAAATCAGCATAACAAGTATAAAAGTTGCAGAGTAGTTGCAGAGTATCAATATCTGCACGCTGCAAACCGTTCAGTTCACAGAAGTCGCCTCCCTTTAATTAAAAGAGCGTCTATCATTTCCGTTCGATAAAAACTCTCCCAACTTCACTTTATCTGTTAAAGTGGTGCCAATTGGAACCTGGACATTCGGAGTTCCGATTTCGTCCAATGTTCTATTCAGAATTGGTTGGACAAAGGTAGCAAACTGGACAACATTAAACGATGGCTTGCTACAGTTCAGCATTTGTCTAAATTAATCTTGCATGGCATTGATTGGCGAATGGAAAGCTTAGGTAAGCTCTCAACATAATTGAACACTTTTTGGCTGGTAAAATTACCTACTTTATAAGCAATTTAAATGACATTTTTGAGTGTTGATTACTGCATAATTTTCGGACATACATATTTGGGTAAATAAGGGACTTGAACATTTTTGGACGGGAAATCAACGAAAATGCCGGACATTGGACGGATATTCGACATAAACATTCTAAAGCTGGCATCAATAATCTGCCACTGCCATGGCAAAAGAATTTTGGGTCTTAGTTTGTCAAACTCAAAGCCTCCATCATCAGTCTCCAACATGCCGACGTCATGTTCGGCAGGGGTCTCTGAAAGCCAAGTTGCCCGAGATTTGGACATTTTTAGACAGAATGGGCCATCTTTAGTTCAGATCAATGACCAGCACCCCATAGAAACCAAGGCTTTCTACATTTTTAGAAGTGGGGTTTCGCTCGCTTGTTTCTTTTTGTGCTAAGATAAAATTTATTCTCCCCATACATATACAAGTGATTATTAGCCCGCGCCCCAATGGGGGGAGGGGGGCTATTGATAGCCCCCTCCCGCTTTTCGGCAATAACTTCCAAACCGCTTGACGTATCGACGCCAAACTTTCAGTACCTTCAGCTGCATCAATTTGACACCTCGTGTCAAAATATGAACTTCGTAGCTACCATGGGTCGGCCGGAAATGACTTAAGAGTGACGTCATGTTCGGCCGATTTCGACGCAAAACATTGAACCGCGGCAATCGCTCCCAAGAGCTAGTTTTTAACCCTATTAGTGGCAGGGGGGGTTGTTTTTATCCACCCCTCAGGTTTTTCGGGAATATCTCCGAAACCGCTGAAGCTACGATGCTGAAATTTTCTGACTTTTCCTAAAACTAAATTTGGCACATTCCCTGAAAATTTCAAGTTCATAACTTTACCAGGGGCGGCTCCAGACCACTGGGAATTGGGGGGTCCTATTCGTGAAGCGAGTCATTTGGGCGAAGATCACGATGCTGCACCAGTTTTACGAACAGTGAATGAAATGTATCATGTGATAACATATACAAAGTTATTGTGCATCCTCTTTTGACACGTTTTTGCTATAATAGGCGGATCCAGGCGTCCAAAAAGGGGGGTCATTTTTTACCTCCCAACATAGGTGCCCTGACACCGCCTATGCATGACCAATACAATTTTAGTCGTTCTCTCATAAGAAAATTGTAACATAACAAGACCATTGCCACCCTTTTTAGAAACAGTACCAACGAAAACCTTATTTACTATACTTTTTGTGTACCCCCAATCTCAATGATCTGTATCCGCCTATGATTTTTGAAAATGCATATTTTTAGGATCCATGTGAATTCCTGGTTCATTCTCTATCGATCGGCAAAAGTTGCGTTAAGATTGGTTCAGAAACCTGGCCGTGATAAACAGTCTAAAATGTATCTGTAATGTGCCCGTTTTTACCCCCCTCTACCCCCCTATTGACATTTTTTAATTTTATTTTTTTAGAAATGTAGATCTCGTTGAGCCAAATCGAATGCCGTTTGAATTTTGAAAATCGGCCCGTTAGATCTCGAGATATCAAGGGGGGGTCGTAAACAGCCCCCCCCCCCCCTGCCACTAATATGGGGTAGCCAGGAGCCTGCCACTAATAGGGTTAAGTTAGATCCAATTTCTTTGCATAAAAGGACTCAGAATAGACTACGCTATCAAACGGCTATCTCGGATTTTCAAAATTTTGAAAATTTTGAAAATTATATGTAATAAAATTCAAAATTTATATTTTAATCTTTTTCAAAAACTTTTTGATTTTTCGAAAAAAAAACGGAATATATGTGATAGTACACATGGTTATGACTTACTCTCGCAAGTTTTAGCTAAATATCTTCAAAAATGGCCATGTTATACGCATTATTGCAAAAAATTCGCAATTATAAATTTTTCAAATCAATTTTTTTCAGTACCTATTCGACATCACACACCAATATAAATAGCACTATCGTGTTCCTGAGCTCAAACCGCATCCATTAGACACCTTTTTTTGTTGAAAAAATAACTTCAAAATTTGACCTTTTTTGACCTGAAAGTGACCTGACCTAAGCTAAATTCAACTCAAAATAACCTCGAATGACACAAACGACATCAAATTTGAAATCGATGGCCTATATGGACCATAAAACATGTGTCACGTGACCGAGCATTATATAATATTTCCGTGGTCTGTGATGACCTGACCCTGACCTGAAAATTAAAGTACAAATTTGGTACCCTCAGGGTATCTAAAGCATCTGTTCCCGAGTGTGTAAACAAAAAATGAGGCTGACCTGACTAGTAAGACGGCGGCCAGAGCCCAAAATGTGAACAAGCCAAAATGCTAATAATTTTTACTTTGACCTGACCTGTGACGTCATCGGTGACCTTGAGGTCAATGAAATTAGGTTTCGCTGGACAGTTATCCGGGGCTATCAGATGCCGTTTGAATTTTGACGATCGGCCCAGTAATTTCAGAGTTAGGATGGGGGGGCTATGAAGAGCCCCCCCAGTAGGGCGTGTTATACGCAGACCCCAGTGGGGCTCGGGTTAGGCATAGGTGTGTAGTCTGTCAGGTCAGGTCCGGTCAGATTAGGTCGTTGGGTACTCTAATTTTGTCTATGCGACTGCAGAAAACTCTAATGAACCTTTTATGACGTCGCGTGAACTGAAATGCATAAATTTGGTGTCATGGGCGCAGTTTTAACTCTTCAATCGCCAACTGCGTCATACGAGGGTAGTTCGGTAGTTCAAGAGATTGCTGTCGAGAGAAATCTTCCTTTCTAATTGTAACAAACATCAGCTGCGCCAGTATCTACTGTATGTTGCATTTGTCCAGGAGAAACCTTAGGTGCACCAAAAATCGCGTATAATTCAAACAAGCATCACATGCACACTTTTCGCAGGTGGCAAATCGCTTCATCATCTTAATTGTGCAAGACGAGTAACGTGCGGGTCAACCTGATCTTAGCAATGTTTCGCAACATGTCAAACAATTATCCACTGGGCCCGCAGCCTGCCCAGCGGGGTCGGGTCAGGTCACATGACCGAGGACCTTCTTTGCCAGTCGTTTGAGCCGGCCGGCCGCCCGCCGGCTGCGCGCTCCGTGCTTCTTCCCCGTGTCCGTCATCACACCGGCGGTGATTTTCTCGGAAGCCTCAATAACCTCCTCGCGCATTTCTGAGCGCAGCTCCGGCGTCGGCTTCGCGGTCGTGGTCGTGGTCGTTGAGGGTCGCGGCGGCCCTCGCGCGGGCACCAGCGCCTCTTCGATCCTGCGCCAGATCTCGACGGTCGCGCGCGGCCGGCTGTTGTTGGCTGTGCGGGAGTCGTACAGCTGCAGCTTGGGACGCATACAGACAAAGTCGAGCTCTTTCTCGCACTGCTCGTGTAGCCACGTTCCCGTCTCGTCCTCTAGGTAGACGCACTTGTGGTTCGGGTCGTACTTGTCGTGTTTCCCGAAATTTTCGTAGCTCATAATTGCGCCGTCAGCCCAGCGGTGGAAGCCGTCGTCGGTATGAATAAGACCGAGCCAAATGGTACTGCCTGTTGATGGATGATGAGCGTTAGAGTGACAAATGGAGAGTTTTATGTTGGTTGATTTATAATTTTGGTCGGACGAAACACCAATTGCGCCCCTGTGTCGAATGTCAGAATCGTTTATAAACGATTCTGTATGAGCTTTGATGGACCGAAGTTTTACTTTTGTTACGATTTACAGCGAGCGGCACGCAACAGCTCTAATTTCGCATATTTATTTCTGTCTGTTGCCTTTAATATCGCATCAAAGGCAACAGACAGAAATATGTGTGAGTATCAATATTATCTTGCAGGATGTCATGTACGCAGCTTACTTCATCAAACTTTTATAAGTGAGTGAATAAGAACCTTATGCTCCACAATAAACCCACCAAGTAATCGATTCTGACAGCCAAACTGACAGTTAATCACGTCCCACAAACACTTACCTGCAAGCCGAGCAAGCCGACGAAGGACGTCGTTTTGCCGAGCGTTGAAGATGGCTACGAACCGGGCGTCCATTTGAAGACAATAGGAGCCCGCGTCGTTCCACGTCTTGACCTGGCCGGGTGTGGAGAAGTTGTAGCAAAATTCACCGGCTCGGATCCAATCAGGACCACCACATGTCTCCATATGAGGCACTTTGCACAGTGCCGGCTGTCCTTTGCCCTTACCACCTTCTTTCTTTTTTCCCTTTTTCTTTGCAGCTCTTCTTTTTCGTATGTTTTGATGGATGCTAGAATATCCGCTGCGTTTTGGTCTTTTTTGCTTTACTTGAATTTTACTGGTGATTTTCTCCTGGATACCGGCGCCCTCTTCCGCCTTCTTATCTTTCTTGCACGATATACCATTTTGCCACTTCTTTGACATTGTCAACTGCACGCATCCGGTAGTGTTGCTTACCGGCACCTTCTCGTCTACCCAGTTTACATAGTCGAAATATGTGCGATCGCTCCATCGCCACTTGTCTTTAACCAGTTGTAATCCAATCCAAGCGGTGATATTGCGAGTAGCGATCCAAGCCACCTCATTTTCTTCCTCGTTATGAATGCTAGCCAGATGAGCAGAAGGATGAAGTTTACGGCAGAGACTTTCGGCAAAGTTGAACGTTTCACTTCTGTCATCGGTCATTCGGAAACAGAAGTCTTTGTGAGATTTCCAACCGTCAGGACAGTCGGATACACAAAATCCCACCATCGACAATATGATGAGAAGATGAAGATGCCATTTCGCTTCAACATATCGAAGCCGAATGACTTTTGGTTGTCTCTTGCAATATTTCTTCTCATGACATTCACTGTGAAAGGCGATGCCAATGTGCTTACTCATGTCCATAAGAGTAAGTCTCGCCCATTGCAAAGAAAGGAAGCTGGAGAGAAATACAAACCGAACGTTATAAGCGATACGTCTTCCAGTCGCAAGCGCATAACAGGCATCATTTAAACGAGCAAATGTTTGTTGCATAAATAGTTATTTTGGCTTGTTCTCGGACTGCATAATTTCTTGGAAGTTTTGGTTTGACTTTAAAATCCCTTGAAAAATAGTGTCGTTGGTGAAAAAGCGTGATTTTGAATTCGATCTTCTCCCAGGAGGAATTCGTTCATTTCCTAGCTTATTGGCATTTATTGGGCTGATGTGGCCGATTCGTTTCGCCTTTTGCTAAGTTTAAGCCAGGCATTTAGTTACCCCTTCTACTAAGACTGTGCATATTTTTGTGAAAAAACAAATTGTGCAATAATATGGGTACGCTGAACTGCTACTTGTGTTAGCATTATTATGTTGTGTAAAATTTGGCTCAAAGGTCGCAAAATAAATCGATTGATTACGAAAATTAAGAAAATTTATATCATTAGATGGTCTTTCTCCACGAATGTCGTTAAAATGAAAAACTCCTCTTAATTAGAAATAGTATTAAATAGCTCCGTTCATCGCAAATTTCCTATCATTTATTTCAACGATAGGTGTGGCATAAGCAAAGGCTAATGGCCTCAACGGCGGTCATCGCTCTCGCTGGTCAGCGGTCATCTTATGTTGAGGATCAAATGCGCGGTTTAGCGGGTTAGGTGTAGCTTGATTCGTATTTTCCTTAATATGGAGGGAATATTCAGCCTCTTCCGCTTTTTACATGCATATGTACTATGTAGGGATGTCGACATTGTTACGTTTGTACCGATTTCAGCGACCACACCAGAAACTACGACGTCTTCTCCCACAACTACGGATCTGACGTCAACAACTGCGGACACTACGTCATCCACAACCATCGCTACATCAACAACACCCGAGCCCCGACCATCGACGACATCTTCTCCCACAACCACGGATCTGGCGTCAACAACTCCGGACACCACGCCATCCACTGCTACATCAACCACGCCCGAGCCCCGACCGCCATCACCAGACGACGTCATCAATGACCTCATCGACAGCTTGAATGGAACGACATCGTCCAACATCACCGAGTCAGACATTATCGAGACGGTTGATCAGCTGGATACCATCATAGATGCTCAGGTAAGATGCCATTTTGTGCTCAGATCAATAATAAAAAGCAGCGACACTATTCATATTGAAGCCATATTGATATGACTAAAGCAACTCGCATTTATATTGTAACCTAAAAAACATTAGGTAAACGATAGTGTCCTTCATGACGTGCAGCTGTTTACTGATTTCATGTCACAAGTGAGCAGATAGATGGTTGCATGAGTGGCTTCCTTGCTTTTAGCATATACCTACTGAACCTTTCATGCATTCATTTTCACAATAGACAATAAATCGTACTTATTTCGAACACGAGTGCCTGACTTTGAAAATCGCCCTTGCGCGGTTTGATCGCATTGATATAATCGCTTGTCGACCTTCGTAAGACATATTTATGACAGCGCTATCGCCTATCGGACTCTTGTTCTGCAAAAAGCAAAACAAAATTAGGGTAGTACCGGCAGATGTACCCCGCATTCGATGTCTCTCGGACGACGAAGATTCTACGTGGTCCGGCCAATCCCGTTCAAGGTCAGCGGGGACTCGGCTGCGGTTATGGAACGTGATTAGCCGAACGACGTAGAATCTTCGTCGTCCGAGAGACATCGAACGCGGGGTAATGAATTGGCTATAAGTGTGCGAATGCTGCATTTAGGTATAGGTTTCACTAATAATGGCTCGCGTCTATGCACGTTTTTAGTTGAACGAGAGTTACGGCCTGCCTCCCGACGAGAGGCTCGACAATGACCGGCAGTTCACCGTGGACTTCGTACAGCTGGTGGACACCCTGCTCCGTGCCACAGATGCCTGGAACAACATGACACAGGTACTGACCTGACCTGACCTCACCTCACCTCTCCTGACCTCTCCTGACCTTCCAGGCCGCTGGGTCGGATAGGATGTGACCACGGCTTATTCGGCTGCTACCGAATCTCAAACACACTCCAGCAGTTTCGTTTTGCCATTCAGGTTGTCATGTCTTTTTTAACAAGGACAAGAGGTTTGAAACGAACTGTTGTGGGCGCTGCTCTCGGTCAAGAGACTCTTGAGATACGCCGAAGCCCGAATGTGCCAACTTGTTACCGGGGCTTCTATCGCGATTCTAACAAACAGCAGTGCGCGATGGCTGTTCAGATAGGGTTTTATTCCGCCTTATCGTGGTTAACCTGTTCAATACGAGTGCTCTGCCGTTCATATTCCGCACCATTGAACTGTTGGCTACTGTCGGCCCACGATCGGCTTTTCGGTAGTTTTGATAAGCACCGTTCATCTCGCGTCCCCTCTGAAACAGAGTCAGATGGAGGAGACCTCCACGAAGCTGATGGCCAGCACGGAAGCGGCCGGGTTCATGTTGGCGAACAGCACTGCCGTGGCCGGCTATGACGATGTGATCGAGACATCCCAGGCGTCGCTGACGCTGTCAGCCAGTTCCGTGAACAGGTCAGTTCGAGAGCTAACGGAATTTGTCGGTCATGCGACATCGCCGTTTTCAGTTTTTCAGTGCACGACTTTGTTAATCATTTTTGCAATCAATTATTTGGATTTTCTTGTCCCTCCTTCATTCTAGTAGAAAAAGAGCCTAACAAAATGGGGAAATGATCCTCAATGCAGTGCTCAATAAATTACCCGACCTGATGGAATGCTTTAACCCATTTCGTGTCCGTCCATCTCTCCAGGAACAGCAGCGGCGGGTTCCGTTTCCCGAGTGAGTCGGCGGCGTCCAGCTGGATCTGGCTGCCCGTCGGGTACGCCGCACAGGTCGCCGCTGACCTGAGGTCAGACCGACTGGCACAGGTGGGCGTGCTGTACCACACCCGGCTGATGGAGCTCATGCTCTCGCCCGCTAATAACAGGTGAGATTGCTCGAGTGCGGCTCAGAACAAATGCAGTACCCGATAAGGGACTGACAAACACGTTAAACCCCGCTATACGAAGTTCAAAGTCTCGGTTGAACGCTATCAGTCTGGACCTGGGACAAGGATTTGCTCACAGTTTATGTATCTGTAACAGGCAAGGTACCTTTAAACATTTAGCATAAAAGCTGCTAATAAACACCAACTGTTTCATCTGGTCACAGCCATCGGACTATCCCAACCTTTCGCTGTTCCTCATGCCATGAGCCGATGACTAAGGCTGTTCAAAACAAAAACGTTGTGGACAAAACTATGTCGGTTATTCCCTTGGGGTCCTGCACAATCCAGCATTGTCGATTAATTGTCATGTTTGTTATCGCACTATCGATAATTCTAATCCTGACGAAACATATTTATGACGCCACGAAATGTGATCATTCCTACGAATGACAATGAAATTTATGGGTAATTCATAAAAACGCTGCCAAACATCCACGGCAGCGGGCGCGGTGCCTGTGTGCTGTGGCTGATCTCACGACTCGATACGACAGATAGCTGTGAATTGTGGCGGCCTACCAAGAACTCCGCCGTGTGTGTTCGGTGTTTACCACTTCGAATCGTAACAGCAAAACTCTCGGAAATCCCACATCATCCAATCGATCTCGTATCAACACTGCGTTTCTGGAAGCACCAGCCGCAGACAAGAGACACGTTGTTGTGACTATCGAGTCTCACATCTCGGGATCCCTTAAAGGTAGTGTGCCACGTTTGAAAGATTTCCCATTTTATTTTTCCTAGGATAAGAACTAAGAAGCTTCTGTTTTTACCTAATATCGCAAAAAAAAAAATCAAAAATGGGCCTGGAATAGTGCCTTTTTCGCCTAAAAGTTTATCGGTTTTTAGATATGTATAACAACTGTAGTGGGCTCACCTGCAAACAGGCGTCGGCAACAATCGCGAATGCGGCGCACTTGTGACAATAAGCAAAGGTCATTATAGTGTTACGACCATACGACGTACGGGAATGAGTTATCAGCTGTCTAATCGTAGACAACACAATGTCGAGCCTTAAACTGTAAGCCCGTATTGGTATTGTTTCTTTTATTTGGCTGTCAAACATTATTTATGGTTTGAAATATGATTTTATGTAAAATAATTGATATGAAAAAGCCGTCTCATAAGTTATGACCCCATTTCATCACACGCAAGTGGCAGAAATGACAATGATCAGCTGACGCATTTTTCTTGGCCGAAGTCAGAGCGCGCAGCCCGACGCACCACCACCGCACCACAAAGTATGAGCAGAAGCCGCGCCCAAAGCCAGGGCCCCGGTAACGTGAGGTAGCCGAGTCGGGGCAGCGTGCGCTGACCCAAGCCGGGGCCGCAGCTTTGGGCGCGGTCTACCGCATCCCCGCGGGCAGCCCCGGGCTATCACATGACACCGGGAGGACGCGCGGCTCCGGCTTGGGTCAGCGCACGCTGCCCTGACTCGGCTACCTCACGTTACCGGGGCCCTGGCTTTGGGCGTGGTCTACCGCACCACCTAACAGGCGTGTTCGAAACCGCAGGAGCTGATGATGAACGGGTTTATCGAAACTTGATTGGATGAGCATATCGGTAATAGCGATTTCAGTGTGTGCATTTATTGTTCATAGTGGTGTGAAATGTGGTTGGGGTACGACCGACAACCCGTCGGGACGAATTTCGCACTGGGGTACTCAAAATTTGAAGAATTTAAGACGTTTCCATGAGTTTTGAAGGTATGGATAAGTTCTAAAAATCCGGTTCTCCTTATCTGGGCCATTAACTCCATACGGTCCAGGAAAGCTGGCACACTACCTTTAAAGTGGACAAATGAGTGGCAGTGGACAAATGGTACCTTTGTTCGTCTTCGAGTTCAGCTCATGAAATTCCCATGCCGCCTGCACTCGCCCCTCACGTTTTTCGATCCCCGTTTCCGCAGTATGGACGACGTCGGGAAGCGTCTGAACTCCCCTGTGCTGAGTTTCTCGCTCGGCGACGGGGACGCCCGGGTGCAACTGCCCGGCCTCATGGGGGCGCAGCTTCACCTGCAGTACTCCCTGACAGAGCGGGAGCCGGCACAGACAGAGGTGTGGAGACACCTGCACCCTGGCGAGGAGCCATCAGCCGTCAGAGGCACGGCCGTCTGTGCCTACTGGAATGAGACACTAAGGTGAGCTTCCTGACGGGCCCTCCGCGCCCACTTACGAGAGCCGCCTGACCGGATGTGTGCGCCTACTGGAATGAAACGCTCCGGTGAGCCGCCTGACAGACCGTCTCCTACTGGTTAGGCTAGTAAAATCCTGAAATGACTACGTACCTCATAAAACTCACGAGTTGAAAGGTCCTAGCCTAATAAGCGATAGCGATAACAAATATCGCAACTCAAGAGCTGTCGAGTGTCGATTGTTTGTAATAAAATC